CCTCCATTCCCAGGGGCACAACAGGCAAAAGCACTTCCATTCACAAGAGCAATGCTGCATCCAGATGATGTATCGACACCCCATGTTGATATGTCACGTTATACCATGTTACAGACCAGGAGACTCCACAGGACCACCTGGGGCCTCACCTTCACTAGAAACTGTAACTCTGCTCACTGAAGGTGGCAATATTACTTGTTGCCAGGCCTTCCTACTGGGTCAGTACCCCCATGGAGCCTGGTACTGTCCCTCAGAGCTGTGCCTCCTGCTCTGAGTTTCGTCATGGCCACCAGAAGAAAAGTTTTCCTCGTTCAGCAGCTGTGGGACAGGGTGAGAACACAAGCAGTGCACTGAGGGCAGCACGGTCTGCACGAGAGCTCAGCTGTGTCTCACTGTGCCCTGAACAGAACCCCGTGTTCACAAAGGGTTCAGGCACTGCTGACCTGCAGGCTCACTCCAGACAGCTGCCCTTGGGCTGGCTCTGCCCACACCAAGCCGGTGTGGGATGGCTGTGAGGTGAGGGCTGCCTCACCCTACAGCAATTCACCGGCTGGCTTAAGGAACACTCTGTACCACGGCTCTGCACAGCTGAGACACTTCAAACAAAGAAGGGAAATCAGAAAATTAACAAGTAGAGCAGCACATATTGAGGCATGCACTCTCTTTTTTAACCTAGACCTTTGTTGATTTTAATAATTGATATAAAGTAACAGATGACTCACTAATTGCACTTCTAAATTGTAACCCAACCTGGAATCAATCACACATGGCATAACTTCTGTTCTTATTTGAAGCTAAATCCACCACAGTGCCTGCTGTAGCCTCTCTAATAATTGCATTAGTCATAACCTGAAAGTATTTCCCATTTCCTTGGTTCCAGTTTTGCTTGCTCTTCAAGCTCATCCTCGTCCCTATCGTTAAAAAGATCTCCGAAATGTTTCCCCGTGGAGCCTCCTCTGGGGTCAGAAGAGCCCTGTGTGACATTCCATGGTGTGATTCCTCCTCTCCTAGAGTCTGATTTTCCTCTAGCACCATTTTATCTCCTTTGCTCTAGTCTAACAATCATTCAGGATTGTATCAGATATTAGCAAGCCCTGTGTAAAACTCTTGGTAACGAGTTATGTACACAAGTGACTGCCAGATTTACCCAGGTCAGCTTTTGTTTGGCAGCACTAATTCTCAGTCTTTAAGTACCCTCTACACTGGATACTCCTCTGCTTGATTCTCTCATTCTATGCCCGAGATACACCTTAGAATTAAAGTGAATACATATCTTGTAAGCATTTTTCAGAATAAAACTCTTTCCCCTATCATGCCACAGATTAACCATCTAGAATCCCTGGGCCAAACAGAAATGAAGGCAGAATGAAATGAAACCAATAACAGCTGGGATCAAATGCACACAATCCAAGGCAAATTCCAACACCTGGGAACAATGCAAAATCAAGTAAGTTCCACTACAAATTCTCCAATTATTTGTTCATTTAAAGTCCTTGTCAAGCTTATGAGACTAATTTCCCATGCAAAGCCAGCTTTTTCTACGAAGATTTTTAAAAGACATGTTCATACAGTTATTTTTTCCAATTCAAAGTCTGTCCTCAGCTATCTGTGCACAAATCCCATTAACTTCAGCACATGTCTAAAGGCAGAATTCGAAACCCGTGAAGAACTGGGTCACTGGACAATGGTGAGTCTCAAACAGAGATTTCTGAGTTATCACAAGGAAAAGATCCCTCTTCCCTCGGGCACTACGAGAGCATTCCCACTTGTCTGTAAACAATACCAACCACTTGAAATGTGATCGGCTGCATTTCATCCTTGCTCACTTCGGTTTCGGTTTCCCATTCTCACCGCTAACAGCCATTTAGTCCTTAATGTGGTACTGAGGTGCCCCCCCAGGGGCTGCCCTTGTGCAGGCAGTGCCCGCCTCGCTCCAGCTTAAAAAGGTACCTACCAACAGATCTGGAAAGGGTTCCCCTGCTTTCCGGGGGTTATTTGGTGCCCAGGAAAACTGCTTTCATGTGCTGGTCATTTACACCAGCTCCTGCCTTGCCTCTCTGCGTTTTATTTAATATTGGTAACCAAAGTTCTTTATCACATCTATCAAACACAGCACAATCTGGCATGAGGTCTACAAGCAGGAAAATCAGTCCAGGAAAAGAAGTTTGTTTTACAAAATAATTCTACATTTAATGTGTCAGTAACCATCAGTGAAATAATAGTCTTCAGCCACCACTCCCGGTGGCCACACTGACATCTCAGATCTGTTTTATTCCATTACAAACACTCTATAGTGCTTAAATCAGACCATCCTGACCTGTTCTAGCCAGTAAGGAGACACAAAAAGACAGGACAAGGCATTGTGCAGTATTCAGAATTTAACTGTGAATCCCCTTTCCACACTCACACCTCTCCAGCCTCTGGGACTCCCCCAGTTGTCCAAGGGATGCAGGTAACACTCAAGAATACATGACAATGTCTTAACTATCTCTGTGAAAAAATCTGTAGGAAACACACATTATTTTCACCATAGTTATATATTCAAAAAAATAATTCTTTCTATGACAGTATTTTGTACCAAGAAAGAGCAGAATTATTGTTAAATATTTGAACTTTCATCAAGGTATCTCTAATTTCATGGTGCTTTTGGCACAATTCAATCCCTATATCTTATTGACTATACTTAGAGCTATAAATTCAATTTTCTTCCTTTTTATTCCATGAAGCCTAAAGACAGATGTTAACTTTTTTCCAAACCTCAGATGTTCTTTTCCTTGTTAAATTTATATCCTTGTACTGCAGCGCCAAAGCTCTTTCAATCCCCTGTATTCTAAATTAATCCATCAATCCCCTTTCCTCTGTGTTTTTGCCCTTGGCAAATCATTAGCCCAAGGGAGAACTCAACAGAAGAATTCAAGATTTCACTCAGACCACAGCTGAAAACATCTTTCTTTTACCTCTGCAATAACTTCACTTCCTGAGGTGCCATCTCTTGCAGGTTTTCCCTCCTCACTACATTTCCAGCTGTGCTGCACAGCCACTCATTTCACAGCTGCCCCTTCCCATCCCACCATCTCTCTCAGCTGCCTTCCTGGGGGCTATATTTGTGCTGTGTTTCTATTTCCTGTAACTAATTTCAAACAAAAACATTCTCATGTGAAGTCCTTGGACAAGTCCTTGATTTCTATCTATTATCTTCTGTCTCTTTTCAAGGCCCACACTGGTATTTTAAGGTCACACAGGAGATTTTGGCTAAACTCATTCGCTGCTTTGAAATTTCTCAATTCAAGACATGAAAGCAGTAACTGATATTCCTCATATTTGTTTCTCCTTTCAATCCTCAAACACGATGAGATAAAAGTCTGTTACAAAGGCAGAGTTATTCTGACTGTTCAGAACCAGGGTGACACTTCAGCCACAGCCTTGCAGAGGAGTACACAAAACATAAGTTTAATTGGAACAAGCTGGACCTCTTACTGCATGTAAAGTTATTAATGCACACGTGCTTTTCCTTCCACTCTAATGCTGAAATCACTTTCATTTTTGAATGAAAGTTACTGTTTCACTTCAGCACTGCAAATCTCCTGATCCTACAGCCTTTGGCCAAAGTTCCCTCACGGGCTGCTTCAACACAGCACGTTGTGTGCTGATTATTTTGGAACAGAGCTCCCCAGTCAGCAGTCTTTCATCTTCACAGCCTATGCAAAATCAGTTTTGAAAGGTGTAAAAAGTGATACCAAACACGATTGCCACGCACCTGAACAGTGAGAGCTGGGTTTGAAAAGGCACTTAACCTGGAAAACCTGGCAGAAATTCTCAAGCGCTCGTTTGAACGCATCGGCCATTTGAGTGTGGAAGCACATGGAATGTTGAAGGGACACGGATGTTCTGTAAAGGTTCTAAGGAATGCATACCCAAAGACGAAATAACACACCAGACTCATCCCTTCCTCCTCATACCTAAAGGTTCTGCCTTGCCAGGGCTTCTCTGGAGCCTGATGGACATCAGTGCTGGGAGCTCCTCAACTCCACAGCCACGTCCTGGGACTGGGAAGAATTATCCCAGGGAGCTGAAAGCTCTCTCGAACCCACCTGTCTTGATTTCTAGAAGAGAAAGATGGAGATCATTGAACCCCACATCCCTTGTGCAGCCTGACCCGCCCGAGCACACCCCAAAGCTGCCTCGATTTTACCCAGCTCAGACAATGGCTGAAGGTTCCACACGGAACATAACCGCCCACATGGAAACGCTGTTCCTGGGCTCAGCTCGGGAACCCGCTCCTTCTGGGCTTTGGGTTCGGCGGCGGGATGCGAAACCCACCGAGGCCGAACGCGGTGTGAGGGGCCGCGGCCCTGCCTCCCTCACCCCGGCCCCCTCCCCCGGGCGCTGCCCCCGGCCCAGCCCGGGCCCCCTCAGCCGCCGGGCCCCCCAGCCGGGAGGCCGGGACAGCCGGCGCTGTGGGCACCCACGGCCGGGCCGGTGCCGCCGCCCGGAGCCGCCCGCAGCCGGCCCTGCCCTCACACACCTGCCCGCCCTCTCCCTGCGCTCCCAGCGCCCGCCACGCTCGCGCTACGCCGTTTGCGCAGCGGGCGCCCTCAGGTGCGGCGGCCGCGCTGACGACACTACGGAGAGTCCGTAACACACACCGACCTCTCCGGGGGCTCTGCGCAAGCGGCGCTCCCAGGTGGGGCCCGCGGAGCGCTCGGGGCCGCGGCGGGGGCGAGAGCGCGGGGGGAGCGGCGGGCGCGGGGGCCGCGGGCCGGGCCGGGCCGCCCTACGGCAGCGTCGCGGGGCCGGGCGGGCCGCGGGCGGGCGCTGCGCCGTTGGCGCAGTTGGCGCGGCCCGTACGCCGGCGGCGCAGGGCGCGCTCAGGTGCAGGGAAGGGGCGGGCGCCGTTGCCCGGCAGCCGCAGCCTATGGGGGCGCGGGGCGCGGTCACGTGCGCAGCCCCGCTCGGCGCTGCGGAGCCGGAGGAGCCGGACGGGGCCGCGCAGCCGGGACGGGGCCGCGCCGGGGCCGGGGGGCAGCGCCGGGGCCGCCGCCGAGCGGGGTGAGGCGGGCGGGCGGCGGGGAGGGGTCGGGGCGGCGGGGCGGCCGTGCCCGGGCACCGCTCCTCCCACTGCACCGGGCACTGCGGGCAGCGGGCAAGGGCAGGACGCGGCGCGGGAGCGGGGGGCGCTGCTGCGCGCGGGGGGGCCGGGGGGGCTGCGCGGGGCCGCGGGGGCTGCGCGGGGCCGCGGGCGGGGGCGGCGGAGGGGCGAGGGCTCGGCGGCCCCGGGAGCGGGCGGTCCCTCCGCCGGCGGCGGGCGCGTTACCGGGGCGGGGGGGTTACCTGTGCGGGGCGCGTTACCTGGGGAGGGGGGGTGTTACCTGTGCGGGGCGCGTTACCTGTCCAGGGGCGCGCACCTGTGTGCGAGGCGCGCTACCTGTGCCGGGCGCGTTACCTGGGGAGGGGGTTGTGTTACCTGTGCCGGGCGCGTTACCTGTGCAGGGGCGCGCGGGCGGCGGCGTGGCCGGGGCGCTGTCCCCGGGCGCTGTCCCCGGGCGGTCCCGCCGGCCCCAGGTGTGGTGGGACGGGGATGCTCCGGCACTCCCGCGGTCGGAGCATCCCTCCCGGGCTCCCGGCGTTGGGGACACCCGGCTGTGTTTTGGTTCATGGTTTGTTTGGTTTTTTTCCTCGTTCATTCCGCGTTCGCCGTGCACTGGGGTTTGGTAATCATTAACCCGCTATTTTTTTCTGGAAGTGAGAGTGTGAATGGGATGTCCAGGGAGTGACACGCGGGTTACTGAGCAGAGCAGAACTTGAGTTTTGAGTCAAAGTAGAAACATGCATTATCTGGCTAAATGTCTTATTATTTATTTACATGGCTCTGAAAATGGTGCCATATGATTTACAGAAAGAAGAGAGCGAACATTCCAAACAGCTCCTGCACAGGGCATGGCAGAACAGAAAATTTAACATGGGGATCCTGGACGTGTCTGAATTATTTTTTTCCTTTATCTGTGTCCTATAGTTCATTAACAGTTTTTAGAAGTTTTATCATACTTTGTCCTGGAAACTCATAAATGCTAAGTGTGGTTAAAGCAGAGACAGACTTAAGTGGGGATTCTTGTCAGGAACAGTAGGTATTTCAGATCTCCAGTTCCAAAAAATGTCTGTGAAACTGTACGTTAATTAAAATAGCTGGGCTATTTAACTTAATTTAAAATAGCTGGGTGTTCTAACAAGCATTTGAAGCCTGGCCTTGTAGGGTAAAGACAGAAAATGAAAATAGTTTCTTCCATTCATGCACAATACTTTCGAACATCCTTAGAAAGAACGGAGAAGGAAGGACTGTTTGCAAACCTTGGTCTGGTTTTCTTTGATTTTTAAAGACATGGTAACCATTTCTGAGACCCAAAGGAAGCAGCACTGGAGGCAGAGAGGAAGGAAGGAAGGAAGGAAGGAAGGAGGATGGAGCAGTTCTGTCTGTACTTGGAGGGGAGGCCATAAAAACTTTTGGAATGGGAAGGGAGGAAGGCCTGGTGGTGTCTCTGGAGAGGCTGCATCGCTCTATTCCTGCCCCTGCACAAGGTTGTGTCTCACAAAAGTGTTTTCCAAGAATTTAAACAGCCACCTCTTCAATGGGCCATCAGAAAGGTGGAAAAGCTGGGTGTGTTATTTCCTGCCAGTGCAGAGAGGAAGGAGAAGTCCATGTCAGCAGACAGGGGCTGGCTGTAGCTCCTGCTAAATTTCTGGTCATTTTTAGGAAGTTGGACTTGCCTCTGGAAGTTCTTGGTATGTAGCATTTTCTTCTCTCTGAAACTTTCCAATCGTTTTCCTTTGCTTCACGTTGGTGTAGAATGAAGGGAGAGCTGTGGAGAAGAGGGGATAAGGATTGCTAACAGTGAGGGTTTGATGTTTTTAGTTCGCTGTTTCTCAGAATCCCATCACGGATGGTGCCAGTCTGGTGCTGCTTTGGCATTTCTAGTTCAAACAGAATCCTTAGGCTTGCTGATTTTGTTAGTCCTGATTTTATAAAGGAGTTTTATTTGCTTGGGCTGTTCATCCAGCCTAGTTGTTACTGCTGAACTATTGGCAATATTGACATCTCTGCACAAAGATGATGCTGATGAAGTGCCAGTTCTTGCTCCATGTGGTTGACAGGCTAAATACAGGTGGAAATCTAGGACTTAATGCCTTGGGGAAGTGGAGAAAGATTCCATCTAGAAATACTTGTGTTGGGGGCTGGAGGAGCCCCAGGGGTAACTCTTGGGAATGGTGCTGAAGAAGTGACCAAATCCAGCCTTGTGGTTTGTCCTGACGGAATTTCAGACGTGACTGATTCCATACCAGAGGTTCAGAAGCAAGAGAACAAAGTAAGCAAATGGAAAGGTACAACAGAAGCTGGCATAAGGCAGGCTGTGCCAGGCCTAAACATGAGAGAAACAATTTAAACTCCAGTGGATATGGGGATTTTGGTGACCCTTGTTTCTGACCTGTAAGCAGCTTTTCCATGGATGTTCATTCAGTACATGATGCTTGAGGTCACAGAGCTCTCTTCTGAAGGCCCTCAAAGGCCTGTGGGTGGACTGAGATTTTTTGGGGGGTTTGAACTGTGAAATCTTGTTTGGAAATAAAAAAAAAAATTAAAAAAACTAGTCAAAGGAGCTGCTTCATGTTGTGAAAAACCTCACTGTAGAATCATAAAAGCTGCAGTTTTTCCACGTTGCTTTGGAAGCAGCTGAACTTTGTAACTTGGCATGTAAATAGAGCTCTTTGAAGCTCCATGGCTGGAAAGAGGGGAGAGGGAAAGGCTCTGGCTGGATAACAAGCTTCTGAGTGTGTAAAAAGCCCCGGTGAGCATGTTTGAGTATTAATACAGAGAACAGGAGTTTGTCCTGGGTTGGGGTGATGCACAGACACCTACAAGGGCCCAAGGTGTGTAAGTGTGACTATGGGAACAGTAGAACTGTGGCAGCTGGTGTATTTTATAGACTGGGCTGGGTGAGGGGGAGCACTGGGGGCAGGTGAGGGAGAGGTACCCGGGAGGTTTTGGTGGCTGAGGGTCAGTCAGCACCTCCCTGGGCTCCCTTCCAGCTCCTGGGGAGCCTGGATTTATGGTGTCTCTCACCATGCCAACAGCAGAGCTCAGCATGGCATTTTGGGGTCTGTACCTCATTTTATGGGGTTGGAGGAGGGAGGGCTGAGCTAACAACACCCACATGAGGAGCACTTGGCTGCTGTAGTGTCCTGGATTCGCTGTAACCCAGCAGTGTTGGCAAGTGAAGATTGCACTGCTGCTGAGTGTGCTGCAGGGATGAAACCAAAAGGAAAATTCCTGTTTAAAGCAACAGGAAAAACTGATACAGATTGAAAGAGCAGAAAAATTTAAGTCTCGAACCTTTCTGTGGAAAGCAGAGTTTGAGTACGTTTGTTGCACTTGCAGCGTGATTTGATAAACAGAAACTTTGTACTTGATGTTTAAGGAAGCAGAAGCCTGAGCTGCCCTACCTGATATTTGCTGATAATCTTTTGTTAAAAGCAATAATTGATACAAGCTACAAGGCCAGAGACAATATTTTTTCAGTTGTACTTCTGCCCTTCTTGGCACTTGTGTAGTTTTTCCTTCTTATGTGCAAGTTTTTCACGGAGCACTGATGACAGAGAACAGTCCCAGTTCGTGTCTGTTCCAGCTCACAGAGGGACAGTGTTCCCATTGAACTTCTCTGAAAACCTCAATTCATGTCCCTTAACAAAAAACCTGCACAGGAATCCTTATGAATTATAGGAGTGAGTAAACATGTTGCTCTTTGGATTTTTGGGCTTTCTTCCGTAGCTAAATTACCTTCTGTTCCTGGTGGTCTCCCTCTAAAACACCATGGAATGGGAGAGGACAGAGAATCCTCGGGCTGTGTTGGGCTGTTGCCTTGCTCACAGTTCTCCTTTGCAAAGCCCATCCTGACATTTCCCGGGCAGAGCTGGAATGTGGACGAGGTGCTGTGGGAGAGAACAAACCCGGGGTATGTCATTTGTTCTGCTCTTGGGGAAGGGATGTAAAGCACAGTCCTTTTCTGTCCCTCTGCTGAACCCAAGATCTCTGGGACTAATCCAAGGGGGGATTTTCTGGGCCACCTGCACATTTGCCCATTGGCTTCTCTAGGGAAGGCCAGGGATTAATTCATGTCCTTGTTTTACACTGTTGGTTTTTCTAGAACTATGCACAACTTCGTAGCTCTTGGAGTAAAACACTGTTGTAACGTGCTGGCAAATTAAAGGTGTAAATGGATGTTGAAGAGGAATAATCTGATGAAATCCATTTTAGGGGATCTCTTGGATTGTGGAAACTGAAGTGATCCTGCCACAAGGGTTGATTTACATTAGTTCCCTTATGTTGTGGTTTGGCATGGTGTTTAAGAGCTTTAAGATGCTGCTGGTGATTGACATAACAAAATGTAAATTATATGCTGTTTTCCTAAGGTCTAATTTATCTGTCGTAAGGTTTGTGTACCAATAGTACTGAGCTCTTCTCACAGTAATGTTTCTCTTTCATGTAATGCCTACGTAGGGGAATTAAATTACTCTTAATTGTATGCTGAAAAAGAAAATAAACTTGGGGTATGTATGGCTATCCCAGTAAATTAAATTTTGCTGCTTCTTGTTCTTTTTGTGCATTTACTTTGACTGTATTGAAAGATTAAATGTTTGAATATCTGGTTGGGAAGAACATTCTTTCTTGTGGGTAGCCACGAGATGTCACAGAACTTGAAGAAATATTATAAACAAGAGCTGATTAAGATTTTAGACCCTAAAGTTTGAAGTGAAATAGTGATTGATGCAGAACTTGGAGGAAGCATAAAAATTTTCATTACTTACTGCAGGCTTTGTTTTTTGTTATGGTGGAGCAGCCACTGTTACCAATTTAACCCTTTCCATAAACATGATCTCTCTCCATAAAGAGAGTGTACCAGAGTCATCAAGGAAATGAACCACCATGCTGCACTCCACTGAATTTCATTGCCTAATATTATTGAAGTAGGGGATGTTTTAAGCTTGCCAGCTGGCATATG